CAAGAATAGGAACCATTCCACTAGTGTCTACCTAATAAGATAAAGCCAAACAAGTGACCCAACGACCTCTACAAATCCTACTCAAAGGATTGTGAAACCTAGAGCCATGCCATATAAGTAGAGAGCACGAGTAAAGGGACGATGAAGGAAAAAATCAATCTAAGTGAGGCACCGCATATAGAAGAGGTCTCTAGGGGAACCTTGTTACACTCATATCTTAGAAAAATGGTAGAGGCGACAAATAAGTGAATCAAATGATAGATAGGAGATTTGAAGCACTCTCCTTGGCGGAATGAAAAACATAAGTCCCCCTAACGTGAGCCCATACCTGCCTGTAACCGTACTCCTGTGGTGGTATAGTAGTACTGCTTTCAAGATAGGCACAAAAATGAGGACTCAAGGATAATTTATTATATATTTCAAACCTGCGAACTCACCAACATGAAGTTGATGTTTTCAAAAATTTCTTGTGTTCCTAGAATAGAGTAAGGACCAAGGCAAGGAAGAACTATCAGCTCGAATAATAACATCTTTCCTATAGCGATAATACTTATGTCTCTAACAAGTATACGAACCATTCCACTAGTGTCTACCTAATAAGATAAAGCCAAACAAGTGACCCAACGACCTCTACAAATCCTACTCAAAGGCATGTGAAACCTAGAGCCATGCCATATAAGTAGAGAGCAAGAGTAAAGGGACGATGAAGGAAAAAATCAATCTGAGTGAGGCGCCGCATATAGAAGAGGTCTCTAGGGGAACCATGTTACACTCATATCTTAGACAAATGGTAGAGGCGACAAATAAGTGAACCAAATGATAGATAGGAGATTTGAAGCACTCTCCTTGGCTGAATGAAGAACATAAGTCCCCCTAACGTGAGCCCATACCTGCCTGTAACCGTACTCCTGTGGTGGCATAGTAGTACTGCTGTCAAGATAGGCAAAAAAATGAGGACTCAAAGATAATTTATAATATATTTCAAACCTGTGAACTTACCAACATCAAGTTGACGTTTTCAAAAATTGCTTGTGTTCCTAGAATAGAGTAAGGACCAAGGCAAGGAAGAACTATCAGCTCGAGGATGGATAATTTTGGTTTTCGCTATGTGATTTGGGTAATTTATGTACCGTGACCACTCAGCATTTCCGCCAATAGCCGTGGAAGATGTGACAAAATGGTATTAGAGCTAGTTGGTATAGCGAATTAGTATTTCTTTAGTTATTATGACTATAGCTTTGGACATATACTTCGATTAGGTTTTCCCTCAAACCTATAAATACAATTATTAATATTAATTACCCAACCGATAGACTATGTATGGGAGAGGTGCCTAGGCTAGAATCGTCACTTGGGTTGCTAGATTTTAGAATGGCTATATGCCAAAAATGGTTGTGCACTTCGACTCTTCCTACCTGGCCATTCCTTAATTATTAGTATAGATGTACAAAACAATAATAACCCCCAATATTGAATAGAATATACGCAATATATAAGATCTGGTTCTGTACGTAAAGTTTGAGTCACTCCTAAACATAGCATGATCAACTATGTTTAGTATTGGTTGAACCAATACATCAACGACATATGGACTCAATCATGGATAAAATAGAAACCATATACACACAAACATAAATCCAAAAAAAGACATATAGTATATCAAAAATATTCCACATAAAAGTAGAAATAAGTATCGAAATACAAACATAATACATCAACCCTCTTGCTAGTTATTGCTCTCATACTCGCCCTCCTCGTTCTCTGTCTCCTACTTGTTGTCATTGTCAATATCCGCGGGATGTGTGCCTGACTTACCAACACCTTCGTGACCAGTACCTTGTGGTTAAGGAGAGGGTGGAACAGTAGGAAACGGCTGAAGAAAAGGTGGATGGGCCATCCCCAGACGTTGTTTCACCCCATCCATTGAATCTATAATCCAACAATGCTCTTCGAGTGGAAAATCCTGACGCCGCATCACGTCATGTAGAGTCGGCTCCGACTGATCAGGCTCGGTAAGCCTAGGTCTCTAATGCCTCACAAAGGCAGGCTCAGGGATGTCCTTTGGCACCACTTGTCGGATCGACTCCATAATATTGTCATCTGGCATGCTCCATTGTTGCCCAACTCCTTGAACCAATAACAACATCTTTCCTATAGCGATGGTACTTATGTCTTTAACAAGAATAAGAACCATTCCACTAGTGTCTACCTAATAAGATAAAGCCAAACAAGTGACCCAACGACCTCTACAAATCCTACTCTAAGGCTTGTGAAACCTAGAGCCATGTCATATAAGTAGAGAGCAAGAGTAAAGGGACGATGATGGAAAAAATCAATCTAAATGAGGCACCGCATATATAAGAGGTCTCTAGGGGAACCTTGTCACACTCATATCTTAGACAAATGATAGAGGCGACAAATAAGTGAATCGAATGATAGATAGGAGATTTGAAGCACTCGCCTTGGCTGAATGAAAAACATAAGTCCCCCTAACGTGAGCCCATACCTGCCTGTAATCGTACTCCTGTGGTGGCATAGTAGTACTGCTGTCAAGATAGGCACAAAAATGAGGACTCAAAGATAATTTATTATATATTTCAAACCTATGAACTCACCAACATCAAGTTGACGTTTTCAAAAATTGCTTGTGTTCCTAGAATAGAGTAAGGACCAAGGCAAGGAAGAACTATCAGCTCGAAGATGGATAATTTTGGTTTTCGCTATGTGATTTGGGTAATTTATGTACCGTGACCACTCGGCATTTCCGCCAATAGCCGGGGAAGATGTGACAGAATGGTATCAGAGCTAGTTGGTATAGCGAATTAGTATTTCTTTAGTTATTACGACTATAGCTTAGGAGATATACTTCGATTAGGTTTTCCCTCAAACCTATAAATTCAATTATTAATATTAATTACCCAACTGATAGACTACGTATGGGAGAGGTGCCTAGGCTGGAATCGTCACTTGGGTTGCTGGATTTTAGAATGGTTGTATGCCAAAAATGGTAGTGCACTTCGACTCATCCTACCTGGCCATTCCTTAATTATTAGTCTAGATGTACAAAACAATAATAACCGCCAATATTGAATAGAATATACGCAATATATAAGATTTGGTTCTGTAGGTAAAGGTTGAGTCACACCTAAACATAGCCTGATCAACTATGTTTAGTATTGGTTGAACCAATACATCAACGACATATGGACTCAATAATGGATAAAATAGAAACCATATACATACAAACATAAATCCAAAAAAATACATATAGTATATCACAAATATCCCACATAAAAGTAGAAATAAGTATCGAAATACAAACATAATACATCAACCCTCTTGCTAGTTATTGCTCTCCTACTCGCCCTCCTCGTTCTCTGTCTCCTACTTGTTGTCATCGTCAATATCCCCGGGATGTGTGCCTGAATTACCAACACCTTCGTGACCAGTACCCTTTGGTTAAGGAGGGGGTGGAACAGTAGGAACCGCCAGAAGAAAAGGTGGATGGTCATTCCCCAGACGTTGTTTCACCCCATCCATCGAATCATTAATCCAGCAATGCTCTTCGTGTGCAAAATCCTGATGCCGCATCACGTCATCTAGAGTAGGCTCCGACTGATCAGGCTCGGTAAGCCTAGGTCTCTGATGCCTTACAAAGGCAGGCTCAGGTATGTCCTTTGTCACCACTTGTCGGATCGACTCCATAATATTGTCATCTGGAATGCTACATTGCTGCCCAACTCCTTGAACCAATAACAACATCTTTCCTATAATGATAGTACTTATGTCTCTAACAATAATAGGCACCATTCCACTAGTGTCTACCTAATAAGATAAAGCCAAACAAGTGACCCAACAACCTCTACAAATCCTACTCAAAGGCTTGTGAAACCTAGAGCCATGCCATATAAGTAGAGAGCAAGAGTAAAGGGACGATGAAGGAAAAAATCAATCTGAGTGAGGCACCGCATATAGAAGAGGTCTCTAGGGGAACCTTGTTACACTCATATCTTAGATAAATGGTAGAGGAGACAAATAAGTGAATCAAATGATAGATAGGAGATTTGAAGCACTCTCCTTGGCGGAATGAAAAACATAAGTCCCCCTAACGTGAGCCCATACCTGCCTGTAACCGTACTCCTGTGGTGGCATAGTAGTATTGCTGTCAAGATAGGCACAAAAATGAGCACTCAAAGATAATTTATTATATATTTCAAACCTGTGAACTCACCAACATCAAGTTGACGTTTTCAAAAATTGCTTGTGTTCCTAGAATAGAGTAAGGACCAAGGCAAGGAAGAACTATCAGCTCGAAGATGGATAATTTAGGTTTTCACTATGTGATTTGGGTAATTTATGTACCGTGACCACTTGGCATTTCCGCCAATAGCCGGGGAAGATGTGACAGAATGGTTTCAGAGCTAGTTGGTATTGCGAATAAGTATTTCTTTGGTTATTACGACTATAACTTAGGACATATACTTCGATTAGGTTTACCCTCAAACCTATAAATACAATTATTAATATTAATTACCCAACCGATAAACTACGTATGGGAGAGGTGCCTAGGCTGGAATCATCACTTGGGTTGCTGGATTTTAGAATGGCTATATGCCAAGAATGGTAGTGCACTTCGACTCTTCCTAGCTGGCCATTCCTTAATTATTAGTCTAGATGTACAAAACAATAATAACCGCCAATATTGAATAGAATATACGCAATATATAAGATTTGGTTCTGTAGGTAAAGGTTGAGTCACACCTAAACATAGCCTGATCAACTATGTTTAGTATTGGTTGAACCAATACATCAACGACATATGGACTCAATAATGGATAAAATAGAAACCATATACATACAAACATAAATCCAAAAAAATACATATAGTATATCACAAATATCCCACATAAAAGTAGAAATAAGTATCGAAATACAAACATAATACATCAACCCTCTTGCTAGTTATTGCTCTCCTACTCGCCCTCCTCGTTCTCTGTCTCCTACTTGTTGTCATCGTCAATATCCCCGGGATGTGTGCCTGAATTACCAACACCTTCGTGACCAGTACCCTTGGTTAAGGAGGGGGTGGAACAGTAGGAACCGCCAGAAGAAAAGGTGGATGGTCCATTCCCCAGACGTTGTTTCACCCCATCCATCGAATCATTAATCCAGCAATGCTCTTCGTGTGCAAAATCCTGATGCCGCATCACGTCATCTAGAGTCGGCTCCGACTGATCAGGCTCGGTAAGCCTAGGTCTCTGATGCCTCACAAAGGCAGGCTCAGGTATGTCCTTTGTCACCACTTGTCGGATCGACTCCATAATATTGTCATCTGGAATGCTACATTGCTGCCCAACTCCTTGAACCAATAACAACATCTTTCCTATAATGATAGTACTTATGTCTCTAACAATAATAGGAACCATTCCACTAGTGTCTACCTAATAAGATAAAGCCAAACAAGTGACCCAACACCTCTACAAATCCTACTCAAAGGCTTGTGAAACCTAGAGCCATGCCATATAAGTAGAGAGCAAGAGTAAAGGGACGATGAAGGAAAAAATCAATCTGAGTGAGGCACCGCATATAGAAGAGGTCTCTAGGGGAACCTTGTTACACTCATATCTTAGATAAATGGTAGAGGCGACAAATAAGTGAATCAAATGATAGATAGGAGATTTGAAGCACTCTCCTTGGCTGAATGAAAAACATAAGTCCCCCTAACGTGAGCCCATACCTTCCTGTAACCGTACTCCTGTTGTGGCATAGTAGTACTGCTGTCAAGATAGGCAAAAAAATGAGCACTCAAAGATAATTTATTATATATTTCAAACCTGTGAACTCACCAACATCAAGTTGACGTTTTCAAAAATTGCTTGTGTTCCTAGAATAGAGTAAGGACCAAGGCAAGGAAGAACTACCAGCTCGAAGATGGATAATTTTGGTTTTCGATATGTGATTTGGGTAATTTATGTACTTTGACCACTTGGCATTTCCGCCAATAGCCGGGGAAGATGTGACAGAATGGTATCAGAGCTAGTTCGTATTGCGAATTAGTATTTCTTTGGTTATTATGACTATAACTTAGGACATATACTTCGATTAGGTTTTCCCTCAAACCTATAAATACAATTATTAATATTAATTACCCAACCGATAGACTACATATGGGAGAGGTGCCTAGGCTGGAATCGTCACTTGGGTTGCTGGATTTTAGAATGGCTATATGCCAAGAATGGTAGTGCACTTCGACTCTTCCTAGCTGGCCATTCCTTAATTATTAGTCTAGATGTACAAAATAATAATAACCGCCAATATTGAATAGAATATACGCAATATATAAGATCTGGTTCTGTGCGTAAAGGTTGAGTTACTCCTAAACATAGCCTGATCAACTATGTTTAGTATTGGTTGAACCAATACATCAACGACATATGGACTCAATAATGGATAAAATAAAAACCATATACACACAAACATAAATCCAAAAAAATACATATAGTATATCACAAATATCCCACATAAAAGTAGAAATAAGTATCGAAATACAAACATAATACATCAACCCTCTTGCTAGTTATTGCTCTCATACTCGCCCTCCTCGTTCTCTATCTCCTACTTGTTGTCATCGTCAACATCCCCAGGATGTGTGCCTGACTTACCAACACCTTCGTGACCAGTACCGTGTGGTTAACGAGGGGGTGGAACAGTAGGAACCGCCTGAAGAAAAGGTGGATGGTCCGTCCCCAGACGTTGTTTCACCCCATCCTTCGAATCTATAATCCAACAATGCTCTTCGTGTGCAAAATCCTGACGCCGCATCACGTCATGTAGAGTCGGCTCCGACTGATCAGGCTCGGTAAGCCTAGGTCTCTAATGCCTCACAAAGGCAGGCTCAGGGATGTCCTTTGGCACCACTTGTCGGATCGACTCCATAATATTGTCATCTGGAATGCTCCATTGCTGCCCAACTCCTTGAACCAATAACAACATCTTTCCTATAGAGATAGTACTTATGTCTCTAACAAGAATAGGAACCATTCCGCTAGTGTCTACCTAATAAGATAAAGCCAAACAAGTGACCCAACGACCTCTACAAATCCTACTCAAACGCTTGTGAAACCTAGAGCCATGCTATATAAGTAGAGAGCAAGAGTAAAGGGACGATGATGGAAAAAATCAATCTGAGTGAGGCACCGCATATAGAAGAGGTCTCTAGGGGAACCTTGTTACACTCATATCTTAGAAAAATGGTAGAGGCGACAAATAAGTGAATCAAATGATAGATAGGAGATTTGAAGCACTCTCCTTGGCTGAATGAAAAACATAAGTCCCCCTAACGTGAGCCCATACCTTCCTGTAACCGTACTCCTGTTGTGGCATAGTAGTACTGCTGTCAAGATAGGCAAAAAAATGAGCACTCAAAGATAATTTATTATATATTTCAAACCTGTGAACTCACCAACATCAAGTTGACGTTTTCAAAAATTGCTTGTGTTCCTAGAATAGAGTAAGGACCAAGGCAAGGAAGAACTATCAGCTCAAAGATGGATAATTTTGGTTTTCGCTATGTGATTTGGGTAATTTATGTACCGTGACCACTTGGCATTTCCGCCAATAGCCGGGGAAGATGTGACAGAATGGTATCAGAGCTAGTTGGTATTGTGAATTAGTATTTCTTTGGTTATTACGACTATAGCTTAGGACGTATACTTCGATTAGGTTTTCCCTCAAACCTATAAATACAATTGATAATATTAATTACCCAACCGATAGACTACGTATGGGAGAGGTGCCTAGGCTGGAATCGTCACTTGGGTTGCTGAATTTTAGAATGGCTATATGCCAAAAATGGTAGTGCACTTCGACTCTTCCTACTTGGCCATTCCTTAATTATTAGTCTAGATGTACAAAATAATACTAACCGCCAATATTGAATAGAATATACGCAATATATAAGATCTGGTTCTGTACGTAAAGGTTGAGTCACTCCTAAAGTATATCACAAATATCCCACACAAAAGTAGAAATACGTATCGAAATACAAACATAATGCATCAATCCTCTTGCTAGTTATTGCTCTCATACTCGCCCTCCTCGTTGTCTGTCTCCTACTTGTTGTCACCGTCAGTATCCCCGGGATGTTTGCCTGACTTACTGTGACATCCCCATTTTCACGGCCAGTAAAGACCGATTTGTTTATGCTTTGTTTTATAAAATCAGAGTAATCTTTTTAAGAAAACAGTTGCGGAATTCTTTCCCAAAACAAAATATGATAAAATTTATCAAAGAATTTCCTTAAAGAAATGTATTTTCATTATATAACAAAATCTCGGGATGTCATGTTCAATACAGAACAAAAGCATAAACAGAACAAAATAGACCTTAGAACAGTTATTCATAACTACTGGCCTATAATCCAAAATCTCTCATCAAGTCCACCAACTTATACTCTTGTGCCATTACCTATAATGCAAATAAAACTGAGTGGGTCAGGCTTGGGATCCTGGTGAGCATATAGGGTTTTCAACCCACAATAATATAATTATTATATTTAATTATCAAACAATTAATCCAATTACCCACCCCCATTATCTCCATTTATTTAGTAAAGATTTACCCTAAGAACCGAATACCTTTCTCCCATTCATTCCTAAGAATTGCCCTAAGGAATTGGCACAAAGTCTAGTGCTGCCATGGTTCTTAGATTACCTTTGGTGAACACGCAGTTTAAAATAATTAATAAACACCTAGTTGAAGAACACCAATGAACACACTCCGTTCAATAATACCTAATGAACACCTAGTTCAAATATCCCTGGTGAACTCAATCACCTAAGGAACACAGAGTACGAAAGCTCTTAGTTCAAACCACGTGATTATAATGTATATCTCGATCCTACAAAACCACTAATACTATTAACACATATAAATCATATTTCTAAAACAATCTATCCCATCCCGTCGATCCCCATATACTGACCCTATACAATGATCTTACGAGATCTAGCCTAAGGAAATCGATATGAACAACAACTGACGAAGCTGCTTCGGAAATTCCCTAGCAGCAAACGAGGATCAATAAAGACATCAAATGAGGGGAATAGAATGAGTTTCACCACGAACCTTCGTTCGTAAAAGAAAGAACCACAAGACATTTTAAGTCAGGGGTAGTTATCTAGATAACAATGCCTAGGCGTGGTCTGACTATCATGAGGTATTATAACCCCAGACTTTACCTATCCCAGCATCGAACATTGCCTAGCAGTGGCCTGAATACATGAGGCATTTCACCCCCAGACATACCCTATCCAGCAATATAACACCAGACATACCTATCAGTGGTCTATAACCGACACACTTTATTAGGTAGTCTATGAAGTTCCCTTAATTACTTCGTGAATGAAAACGCTGACATATGAAGCTTGGTCGATCACTTCATAAAAGAAACGCTGACTCCAAAGCTCTCTCAAAATAAAAGTGTGGGCAAATACTACTAGAGTACTCCCGTACGCTCCCGTAACCGACACACAAAATTGCCAAAAAGACTTTGTACATGATAATACTTTTGGCACATTATAGAACTTTGGTATGCGAAAGAATCGTACCCGAGAATATAATAGTACCCTGGCACAAGCAGCACCCAAGACACAGAGCTTTGAAAAAGACTTCGTACATAAAATGTACTTCTGTACGTAGGACGTACTCCATCGATCATCAATCTCGGAATGCACGTACTCTTAATAAGAGACTACCCAATGTCCAAACTTAATTGAACTAAACATCCCATTTAAGTCTTAACCCATCACTAGGAAAACTTACAATACTTATAATCAATTCCCGGTACTATCTCCGTTTAGGAAAAAGACTAACTAGTGTATACTTAACACAAGGTTTTAAGTAATAATATCATATATATACATCTTAACACATATTGAACCATATCTGATTCGTACGTTGTATATCATCAAATATATCTAACACGTATTTCAGAAAATAACAAATAATTCACATACATATGTGTATTTCATACTTTAATCAATTATTGTATTAAAATCACGTTCCTAAAAGGGACTATACACATGATACCTTATCGAATGAACACGTAATTCAAAAATATATAATCCGTACTCCCGGATCTAAAACTAACCTCCTGATCTGATCTCTACTCTCGAATCTAAAACTAATCTCTTGATCCGATCCATACTCTCGGATCTAAAACTAACCTTTTGATCTGATCCATACATCCAGATCTAAAACAAGTTTATCTCTTTATTCTTTTATCTCATGGTCCAACCCATATTTTATCACTTACCAACAACCTCATCTACGCATGTTCTACCCAACATATTTTTAGATACAAAATACATATATATATATATATATATATATATATATATATATATATATATATATATATATATATATATAGTTTAACTCATTAAAGCTTATATAATTCACCTATTCCACAATCATCTCAAATAAACAACAAAATATTATACACGTAGCACGTATTTCATAGCAAATACTTAATATTTATGTGTTTAGAAGAAAGTAACTACACACTCACTTGATTAGAAGATGATCGGACAACACTACTGCTTGTAGAAGTAGTATTCTTAGGCAGATCTGGAGGATCTTCACAAAAACCAAACTCCTCGCGGGCAGAGCTTCGGCTCGGGAATTGCACTTCTTGGGATTTTCGGGGCCTCGGGACTTGCTTCGAGGCTCAGGAATGATACCGGGGCATCAGGATAATTCTTGCACGAAAAACGATGCAAAAACAAGAGAAAAAGGGAAGAAATGAGCAAACTACTCGGTTGCCCTCGACACCCTTTTATAGGGGCTGGAAGGCCGATTTACACTGGGCGTAAATCCTAGTTACGCGGGGCGTAACCTGGATAGGATCGCTGATTTCCCCCCCCCCCTTCGGATAATATCGGCCAATATATATATAAATAAAATATCGAAAATATAATCAGTACTCCTGTGGTGGCATAGTAGTACTGATGCCAGGTATACACATATAATCAATATCATATAATCATGCTAACACACATAATGATCATAAACACTATCATATGTTCTAGTCCTTAGGCCACTCCGGGCATCGAGTCCCCCCCCCCCCCCCGGTATGCATAATAGCTCATAACACATGAAAGGGTCACATAATAGCTGCCCAACTCCTTGAACCAATAAAAACATCTTTCCTATAGCGATAGTACTCATGTCTCTAACAAGAATAGGAACAATTCCACTAGTGTCTACCTAATAAGATAAAGCCAAACAAGTGACCCAACGACCTCTACAAATCCTACTCAAAGGCTTGTGAAACCTAGAGCCATGCCATATAAGTAGAGAGCAAGAGTAAAGGGACGATGAAGGAAAAAATCAATCTGAGTGAGGCACTGCATATAGAAGAGGTCTCTAGGGGAACCTTGTTACACTCATATCTTAGACAAATGGTAGATGCGACAAATAAGTGAATCAAATGATAGATAGGAGATTTGAAGCACTCGCCTTGGCTGAATGAAAAACATAAGTCCCCCTAACATGAGCCCATACATGCCTGTAACCGTACTCCTGTGGTGGCATATTAGTTCTGCTGTCAAGATAGGCACAAAAATGAGGACTCAAAGTCTTTTCCACTGTATAAATGTAACATCCCAAGATATGGTTCCAAAAATTTCCTTTTTTTAAACTAGATAAAATATTATTTTCAAATATCACCCGTGCATCTCAACAAAACCAATGTATCAAATGTCATAAAAATCATAATAAAAATATCGTATGTAGAATCCCAACGGTGTAGCGATGCAGTCAACCCGAGCACTTCCCCTTAGAACCAGTGGTACCTAAAACATTAACTGAAAATCGTAAGAATAAAGTTTAGTGTTTTCCCCAAACTACCCCATACCATACATACTAAATCATAGTGTGCCACCCCAGCCCGACATCGGGCCCCACCTGACATTGAGGCCCACTAGGTATATATATCTATTATTCTCAGGCCTCGCCTATCACTGGGCCCTGCCAGGTATACACATATAATCAATATCATATAATCATGCTAACACACATAATGATCATAAACACTAGCATATGTTCTAGTCCTTAGGCCTCTCCGGGCATCGAGTCCCCCCCCCCCCCCGGTATATATAACTTAGTTAAGATTATTCATTCTAAATAATCTTTCATCAAAAATTCATTTTTGAAGCCTATTGTCTCTAAATTGACTAGCCTTGATCTACGGGCGTTACACTTACCAACACCTTCGTGACCAGTACCCTGTGGTTAAGGAGGGGGTGGAACAGTAGGAACCGCCTGAAGAAAAGGTGGATGGTCCATCCCCAGACGTTGTTTCACCCCAGCCATCGAATCTATAATCCAACAATGCTCTTCATGTGCAACATCCTGACACCGCATCACGTTATGTAGATTCGGCTCCGACTGATCAGGCTCGGTAAGCCTAGGTCTCTAATGCCTCACAAAGGCAGGCTCAGGGATGTCCTTTGGCACCACTTGTCGGATCGACTCCATAATATTGTCATCTGGAATGCTCCATTGCAGCCCAACTCCTTGAACCAATAACAACATCTTTCCTATAGAGATAGTACTTATGTCTCTAACAAGAATAGGAACCATTCCGCTAGTGTCTACCTAATAAGATAAAGCCAAACAAGTGACCCAACGACCTCTACAAATCCTACTCAAACGCTTGTGAAACCTAGAGCCATGCTATATAAGTAGAGAGCAAGAGTAAAGGGACGATGATGGAAAAAATCAATCTGAGTGAGGCACCGCATATAGAAGAGGTCTCTAGGGGAACCTTGTTACACTCATATCTTAGACAAATAGTAGAGGCGACAAATAAGTGAATCAAATGATAGATAGGAGATTTGAAGCACTCTCCTTGGCGGAATGAAAAACATAAGTCCCCCTAACGTGAGCCCATACCTTCCTGTAACCGTACTTCTGTGGTGGCATAGTAGTACTGATGTCAAGATAGGCACAAAAATGAGCACTCAAAGATAATTTATTATACATTTCAAACCTGTGAACTCACCAACATCAAGTTGACATTTTCAAAAATTGCTTGTGTTCCTAGAATAGAGTAAGGACCAAGGCAAGGAAGAACTATCAGCTCGAAGATGGATAATTTTGGTTTTCGCTATGTGATTTTGGGTAATTTATGTACCGTGTCCACTTGGCATTTCCGCCAATAGCCGGGGAAGATGTGATAGAATGGTATCAGAGCTAGTTGGTATTGTGAATTAGTATTTCTTTGCTTATTACGACTATAGCTTAGGACGTATACTTCGATTAGGTTTTCCCTCAAACCTATAAATACAATTATTAATATTAATTACCCAACCGATAGACTACGTATGGGAGAGGTGCCTAGGCTGGAATCGTCACTTGGGTTGCTGAATTTTAGAATGGCTATATGCCAAAAATGGTAGTGCACTTCGACTCTTCCTACTTGGCCATTCCTTATTTATTAGTCTAGATGTACAAAATAATACTAACCGCCAATATTGAATAGAATATACGCAATATATAAGATCTGGTTCTGTACGTAAAGGTTGAGTCACTCCTAAACATAGCCTGATCAACTATGTTTAGTATTGGTTGAACCAATACATCAACGACATATGGACTCAATAATGGATAAAATAGAAACCATATACATACAAACATAAATCCAAAAAAATACATCAAGTATATCACAAATATCCCACACAAAAGTAGAAATAAGTATCGAAATACAAACATAATGCATCAATCCTCTTGCTAGTTATTGCTCTCATACTCGCCCTCCTCGTTGTCTGTCTCCTACTTGTTGTCATCGTCAGTATCCCCGGGATGTTTGCCTGACTTACTGTGACATCCCCATTTTCACGGCCAGAAAAGACCGATTTGTTTATGCTTTGTTTTATAAAATCAGAGTAATCTTTTTAAGAAAACAGTTGCCGAATTTGTTCCCAAAACAAAATATGATAAAATTTATCAAAGAATTTCCTTAAAGAAATGTATTTTTATTATATAACAAAATCTCGGGATGTCATGTTCAATACAGACCAAAAGCATAAACAGAACAAAATAGACCTTAGAACAGTTATTCATAACTACTGGCCTATAATCCAAAATCTCTCGTCAAGTCCACCAACTTATACTCTTGTGCCATTACCTATAATGCAAAGAAAACTGAGTGGGTCAGGCTTGGGATCCTGGTGAGCATATAGGGTTTTCAACCCACAATAATATAATTATTATATTTAATTATCAAACAATTAATCCAATTACCCACCCCCATTATCTCCATTTATTTAGTAAAGATTTACCCTAAGAACCAAATACCTTTCTCCCATTCATTCCTAAGAATTGCCCTAAGGAATTGGCACAAAGTCTAGTGCTGCCATGGTTCTTAGATTACCTTTGGTGAACACGCATTTTAAAATAATTAATAAACACCTAGTTCAAGAACACCCAATGAACACACTCCGTTCAATAATACCTAATGAACACCTAGTTCAAATATCCCTGGTGACCTCAATCACCTAAGGAACACAGAGTATGAAAGCTCTTAGTTCAAACCACGTGATTATAATGTATATTTCGATCCTACAAAACCACTAATATTATTAACACATATAAATCATATTTCTAAAACAATCTATCCCATCCCGTCGATCCCCATATACTGACCCTATACAATGATCTTACGAGATCTAGCCTAAGGAAATCGATATGAACAACAACTGACGAAGCTGCTTCGGAAATTCCCTAGCAGCAAACGAGGATCAATAAAGACATCAAATGAGGGGAATAGAATGAGTTTCACCACGAACCTTCGTTCGTAAAAGAAAGAACCACAAGACATTTTAAGTCAGGGGTAGTTATCTAGATAACAATGCCTAGGCGTGGTCTGACTATCATGAGGTATTATAACCCCAGACCTTACCTATCCCAGCATCGAACATTGCCTAGCAGTGGCCTGAATACATGAGGCATTTCACCCCCAGACATACCCTATCCAGCAATATAACACCAGACATACCTATCAGTGGTCTATAACCGACGCACTTTATTAGCTAGTCTACGAAGTTCCCTTAATTACTTCGTGAATGAAAACGCTGACATATGAAGCTTGGTCGATCACTTCATAAAAGAAACGCTGACTCCAAAGCTCTCTCAAAATAAAAGTGTGGGGAAATACTACTAGAGTACTCCCGTACGCTCCCGTAACCGACACACAAAATTGCCAAAAAGACTTTGTACATGATAATACTTTTGGCACATTATAGTACTTTGGTATGCGAAAGAATTGTACCCGAGAACAAAATAGTCCCCTGGCACAAGCAGCACCCAAGACACAGAGCTTTGAAAAAGACTTCGTACATAAAATGTACTTCTGTACGTAGGACGTACTCCATCAATCATCAATCTCGCAATGCACGTACTCTTAATAAGAGACTACCTAATGTCCAAACTTAATTGAACTAAACATCCCATTTAAGTCTTAACCCATCACTAGGAAAACTTACAATACTTATAATCAATTCCCGATACTATCTCCGTTTAGGAAAAAGACTAACTAGTGTATACTTAACACAAGGTTTTAAGTAATAATATCATATATATACATCTTAACACATATTGAACCATATCTGATTCGTATGTTGTATATCATCAAATATATCTAACACGTATTTCAGAAAATAACAAATACTTCACATACATATGTATATTTCATACTTTAATCAATTCTTGTATTAAAATCACGTTCCTAAAAGGGACTATACACATGATACCTTATCGAATGAACACGTAATTCAAAAATATATAATCCGTACTCCCGGATCTAAAACTAACCTCCTGATCTGATCTCTACTCTCGAATCTAAAACTAATCTCTTGATCCGATCCATACTCTCGGATCTAAAACTAACCTTTTGATCTGATCCATACATCCAGATCTAAAACAAGTTTATCTCTTTATTCTTTTATCTCATGGTCCAACCCATATTTTATCACTTACCAACAACCTCATCTACGCATGTTCTACCCAACATATTTTTAGATACAAAATACATATATATATATATATATATATATATATATATATATATATATATATATATATATATATATATATATATATATAGTTTAACTCATTAAAGCTTATATAATTCACCTATTCCACAATCATCTCAAATAAACAACAAAATATTATACACGTAGCACGTATTTCATAGCAAATACTTAATATTTATGTGTTTAGAAGAAAGTAACTACACACTCACTTGATTAGAAGATGATCGGACAGCACTACGGCTTGTAGAAGTAGTATTCTTCGGCAGATCTGGAAGATCTTCACAAAAACCAAACTCCTCGCGGGCAGAGCTTCGGCTCGGGAATTGCACTTATTGGGATCTTCGGGGCCTCGGGACTTGCTTCGGGGCTCAGGAATGATACCGGGGCTTCGGGATAATTCTTGCACGAAAAACGATGCAAAAACGCGAGAAAAAGGGAAGAAATGAGCAAACTACTCTGTTGCCCTCGACACCCTTTTATAGGGGCTGGAAGGCCGATTTACGCTGGGCGTAAATCCTAGTTACGCGGGGCGTAACCTGGATAGGATCGCTGATTTCCCCCCCCCCCTTCGGATAATATCGGCCAATATCTTCCTCATACAAACTCCGTTTTCGATGTTCTTTATATCCACGCGTAGGTGAGACTACGATCTACAACTTTCGTTTAGACTCCGTCGGCTAATTTTGATTTTATTTTTATTATTTATTTTTAGTAGGCCGGGACAGGAAAACTCCGTTATAAAATCATAACTTCTTCATCCGACGTCCGTTTTCGCCTATCTTTTTATCGTTTTACTACAATTAATGAGATCTTCGATTCTCATTTAGATTGTTTCGGCTAAAAACCACCCGGTCTCAAATCGAGTATTCGGGTTGCATACCGCTAAGTCGAAACTTCGAAAAATCATAACTTCCTCATACGAAGTCAGATTTTGGCGTTCTTTTTATGCATGCTCTCGGTTTAACGTATTCTACGACTTTCATTTAGATTGCTAAGGCTAAATATTGCTCTAACGTAAATTCACTTTTTACGTCGCGCTGTGTCGTGCCGGTTCTGTCGCGAAACTTCGACAGGTCATAACTTCTTTGTTATAACTCGGATTTCCTCGTTCTTTATATGTACGGAAACCTTGTATCATATAATATAACTTAGTTAAGATTATTCATTCTAAATAATCTTTCATCAAAAATTCATTTTTGAAGCCTATTGTCTCTAAATTGACTAGCCTTGATCTACGGGCGTTACACTTACCAACACCTTCGTGACCAGTACCCTGTGGTTAAGGAGGGGGTGGAACAGTAGGAACCGCCTGAAGAAAAGGTGGATGGTCCATCCCCAGACGTTGTTTCACCCCAGCCATCGAATCTATAATCCAACAATGCTCTTCATGTGCAACATCCTGACACCGCATCACGTTATGTAGATTCGGCTCCGACTGATCAGGCTCGGTAAGCCTAGGTCTCTAATGCCTCACAAAGGCAGGCTCAGGGATGTGCTTTGGCACCACTTGTCGGATCGACTCCATAATATTGTCATCGGGAATGCTCC